CTGATGAGAATATAATATCACCCACTGGTACAGTAGGAGCTATGTAAAAACAGAAATTTAGAATCCGGAAGTAATAATTGTTCACCTACCAGTTTGAAGTGTAGTAGCTAAGTAATTAGTAGTCAAATAAGCTATCTCAGCTCCATATACTCCAATAAGATCAAAGCCACATTGAGTGTAAGGAGGTATACCAGTTGAAGTATGTGTTGATGAAACTGATGTTGTACTGTTACTAGTGAATGATGAGTCACATACTCTCCTACACCTTCTATTAATATTATAACTAATTGGTACTACATCAGTAGGTGGACTCCATGTTAATGTAATGGAAGTACTTGTAATTAATGTAGCCATAAAATCATTAACTACTGGATTACCTAATTAATCAAAAACACAAATTTAGGGTTAGAGATATCTTATAACTTACTAATTGTTAACATAGCTGAAGCATTACCACTAGGTAGAGAAGCTGATCTATAAGATACTACATAGAAAGTGTATATACTTCCTTGAAACAATGATGATATTATATTGTTTGTTGTTGAACTAGTGTTGGATACACTAACAGGAGTATTACTAGACAGTTGATAGTAGACCTCATAACCAGTAGCTCCTGATACAGTAGACCAGGAGAGTCTTACATGAGCTAAACCAGTACTTAATCTTGTAGCAGTTAAACCAGTTGGAGTATCAGATACTGAAAACATATGATAAATTAATCATAAATGATGTTAAAAACCTGATAAACTCAATGATGTAGTACTGCTTAATGCCTGAACATTACCAATACGACCATTATTACCATCAGCTACTCTGATATTTGATAAAGTACACTGATAGTTACCAGCTTCTCTCAGTCTCACTGTTACTGTCACTCTTGTAACAGATCCTGATCCATTCACTATCACACGAGACAGTTCAGTAGATATTCCATTCCCATTCACTGAACAATAGACATTAGTAGGAGGACCATCAGAGACATTGAAACTGAGACTGAAGACTGGAGGAGTAGCTAATCTACTAGTGGAGAGGAGAGAAAACTGCATAGTAAGATCAGCATCAGGACCTTCTGTAAAAGAAGTACATTAATTATAGTCTATATTTATCACATACCATTGTTATTGTATCCAGTATCAGTATATGCTCCAACCACTAGTGTTTGATTCACTCCATTCTGATCAGGAATGATACACTTGTATAAACCTTCATATCCTGATAGTCCATCTCTTCTAGCTAGTGCAATCTGACCATTGAATCTCTTACTGTACACTGGTCTAGGTGATGTTAAGTCATCAAAGGGTCCATCAAATAAAGGTACTTCAGTTCCATTAGGATAATACCACACTCCAATATTAGTACCAGTGTTAGCACTCTGACACCACAAAGCATCAGTGGTATCATTATCATCATTATTCTCATCAGTATCATAAAACTGGCCAGCATATATCATAGAGTAATCAGATATTATCCTGTCCTGATATGTTAAATACAATCGAACACCTGAATATGAGCAGATACAGACTTGTCTATACGTACTTATCTTCTTACCATTACTGGGTAGGATAGAAGGTGCTTGTCTACTTCTAGATACAGTAATTAATCGAACTAGTAGTAATATAAATAAAATAAAACAAGAGCTTGTTGACAGTGCCATCCTGTTTCCTAAAATGATACTACTAAATACACTTCGCTACTTAAAAGTCATTATGTAGGTGTGTTATTTTAACTAACATTAGTAAACATTTCTAATTTTAGAACATACACATCTTATACTAACCACTGTCAACACACACTTGCATGTACATCAAATACATTATGTTGATTGCTTTATATAGTAATGTATGTACATAAAAAATGAGTACATTATTAAACAGTTGGTATTTCATATTCAGCAGGTGGTGGAAGAGGAGTCTCATATTCATTATTAGTTGTATCATACACTGGCTCAACAGTTGATCTATTAATAATAACTGTAAATAATAATAATAATTGTATTTTATATAACTCACTGTGTTTGTTGCACTGTACTGTATGCTGGACTATCCTTCATTAGTATATCATCAGCAGTACTGTATGTGTGTGTGTATAGACATAATGTACTAGTCAATAGTGTAACTAACTTTGTTTTAAATTCAGTTGTAGCATAAGCTGGACTGCATTCCATTACAATGTCATTATCTGATTTTCTATTAATAATTTTAAAATT